TTGTAGGCACAAAGTTGCACATCGTGCCTACAGAGCTGAACCCTCTTGCACAACCAAAACGTTATACCCATAGACCAGCCACTCCCCCCGCCCAAGTCCCTGGCAGCCCCATTTTACTGTCTCTGTGAGCCTGATGGTTTCACGTGCCTCGTATAAGCGGAATGAATTGTGTGGCTTTCTGTGATTGGCTTTCTTACTTTTCTGACTCTTACCTGTCGCACTGTCCCGGAGGCTCCTGCGTGTTGTCACAGGTGGCAGGAGTTCCTTCCTTTTTAAGACTGAGCAGCGTCCCACTGCATGTGTGTGCCACCTTCCAGTCCATCCGCTGGGCGACCTGGGTTGTCTCTGCGTCTTGGTGTTGTGAATAGTTCCACCATGAACATGGGAGAGCGCGTATCTCATTTTTTAAGATCCTGATTTCAGTTCTTTGGGGTAAATACCTGAAAGTGGGATTGTTGGATTATATGGCAGTTTTATTTTTAATTTTGTGGGATCCTCCGTGCACTTTCAGCCATCCTTGGAGGCTCCCTGCAGTGGCCTCAGACCTGGCCTTGAATTCTTGCCCGAACACAAGAATTCACCTCCCCACCGTGGCTTCTCCTTGCCACTCACCCCGACCTCTGGCCTCGTGTCTCTGGCTTTGACAGTTTTCTTCTTCCCTGGCCCTCAGCCTCTCCCCTGCTGGCATTGCCTTCAGCAACCCTGTCACTCCCATCCCCACGACCCAACCTGCTGTCCTAGGGGCGCCGCCCCTGAAACCAACCCCAGTCACGAGGGCAGCGCGTGCCCCTCCCCGGACTCGCCAGCAGCTGCCCCGTGTGCGGGTCTGCTCCATGGCCGCCCTTCCCACCCTGTCCTCCCCCTGCAGCTAGTGGGCATGCTCACCGTTCAGGACAAAGACGAGGTCACTTCCAGGGCTTGGAGAGCAGGGCCCAGCAGGGGCTGAGCCAGCGCCTGACGACTCGACGCGTGGAAGGGACTCTTTGGGAGCAAACGCCGCCCTGCCTGAGGGCACGGATGCAGTGCCTGGGCCGCGGGAGGTGTGGCCGTCCTGTCCTCCCAGCCAGCCCTCGGCATGCTGGGGAGGTGTCGAGCCCTTTTGGTCCTTTGGGACCAAAGCAGGGTCCCAACCGCAGGCCCTGTGCCCTCTCTGCCTGGGGGCCGGGCTCCGACCTCAGGCAGCCACGGCTCCCACCACAGTGCCCTTAGCTGTGAACACCTCAGAGCCCTGCTCCACCCCCATCTGGTCCACCTTTCTGTGGACTCCACTTGCATCATTCGTGCTCTAAAGCCATGGACGCCCTGGTGGGACAGGGAACCCCTCCCTGTCCCCTTGGCCCCGGAGCCCAGCCTGCCGTCCCGGGGTGTGTCCCACTGCCCTCCTGTGCGCGCAGCGGGCTCCGGCCCCTGCCCAGGGCACTTCTCCCTGGCCAAGGGCACAGCTTGGTGTCCTGGAGTTTCTAATGGGCTTTTTAGAGCTGCTTTTCAGCCACCTTCCTTCAGACGTGCTAACATTTGCTCCGCCCGGCAGACCTCGCACCGCAGCCAAGGCCACCTGTCACATCACACAGACCACACCCAGCTGCTGAGGCCCAGCCAGCGTATGTGAGGGGCAGCGCTTCCCACCCGCTTTTCCACGCGTCCCCCCAGGTGTTGAATTCCAGAAAAGTCCTAAAGTTGAAGGAACCTTCTAATATCAAAAAGCAAGAGGTCTTGACAGGGAGTTTATTGAAAAATGAAAGACCTAAAAGAATGAGGCTGGAATGATCAGGCGATTGGTGGCCACTGTGGGGGCAGGGGGCCCGATGCCCATCGCATCTCATGTAACAACAGCATCTTTCTGGCTTAGGGGGAAGAGCGAGGAAGCACGTGGCCCAGAGCAGGATTTTCGTGTTGCAGAAGAGCTGGTGTGCGTGTGCACGCACGTGTGTGTGTGTGGGGGGGGCACAGCACACGTGTTTCAGGGTGCAGCGTCCAGTGGTTTTCCCTGCCTGGGGAACCGAGAAGCAGGCAGCGAAGACTCCGTCCGCCCCTCCGCCCCAGGGCGCTCCTCCTCCTTTGCACCAGCCCAGGCAGACTAGGACCGGTGCCTCCTCCTGGCACCTGGATCGACCCCCAGAGCCCTCTTCCTCCTTCTGTGGCTTCTTCGTTTCTAAAGGAAGCACACACATTGCACCTTGGTTTTGTCATTGGTGGCGGCGGCGGCTGGTGGTGCTTCCTCAGAAGATAGGCCCGTTTATCTTCGCTTAAAGCTGAGAAAATAACCTGAATCGTTGATTACAGATCCTTTCATCTCCTCCCGGCCTCCAGCGGGTGACGTTCTTGCCTGGGATCCTCCGGGCGGCAGCGGGAGTGGCCGGGAACCGAGGTGCCGACAGCTTGGGTTGGGTCACGTGGTGTTTACTGTGCTGCGAGTTTATGACAGCCTTGTTTCCACACTGACAGCAAGCGCCATATGGCGAGAAAGTGTGCTGTCAGATGGACCCCCAGGCAGTCACAGCGCAGCACTCGAAGCCTCATAATTGCTTTTGGAAAACGGGGCGGGGGGGCTTGCCTCACGTAAGCAGTGTGGGGCTCCCTGCCATAATGGAATAAAACTGGATTTTGACATAAGGCAATTTGCTTTCCCTCCGTGTTCATGCTGGGGATGCCCAGCGGGTGGGAAGGACAGGGGCGTTTGTTTTCCTCACCTGTGGGCGGCGCCTGGAGGGGGAGCCAGAGAGCGCAGGCTGACTGCAGGAAGGGGCTGGGGGGGGGCGTGCTAACAGGTGCAGGCCGCAGACTGGCCACCCCGGGGCTCCCCGCTCCCGGAGCCCCTGCCACGCTGACGCTAACACTCATCCGACTTCACTCGGCTCTCCTTCCCCTGTGCTGGCCTCAGCCTGCGTGGACTCTCACCGCCTGGTGGGAAAGACGGTTGTGGGAGCTCTGTGGTGACCGGTCCTATGGCCTTGTCACCCCAGAGAGGAGCAAGTGTCTTTCCTGGAAGTGCTAGCAAAAACCTTGGAAGGACTCCAAGACCCATTCAGGTCACATGAACCTATGGATGTGGCCATGGGAAGAGGGCTCTGATTGGCTAGGGCTGAGTCACGGGCCCACCCCTGAGGCTTGGAAGCAATCAGCTCCCTTTGAGCCTCAGGCTGGAGTCTTACAGAGAGAGAAGGCTCCCAGAGGAAGGGAGAGGGCACAGGCAAAAGGTGCACGTCCACGATGATAATAGAGGGTATTTATTAAGCATTGCCTATGTGCCAGGCCCTGGTCTGAGTCCTTTCTCCACATGGTCTTATTTAATCCTCACAATAGTCCTTAAAGCTGGGCACGATCATTGTTCCCAGTTTAGAGGTGAGGAAATTGAGGGATGGGAGTGTCTAGTCCGTTGCCTCAGGTCACACAGACGGTTAGTGGTCAAGCTGGAGTTTGAACCCCGGCGGTTTAGTTCTGTAACCCACACTCACAGCCCCCAACCTCTGTACAGGTAACAGCCTTACCTCCCTGGGCTGAGCTCTTTGGGCGTGGAAATGAGTTGGCATGATGGCTGTGTTCCTATCTGCGCTTGTGTTCCCTGACTTCCGAGAAAAGCCCTCCAGGGGGCGATTGTCCTGGCTCCTCCTCTGCATCTGGCAAGGACAATCCATCCTGCCATCCAGGAAGTTCTCCTAACCCAGGCCTAACTCACCCGCTTCCTGGTCTCCCTGTGTCAGCACCTGACTGTGCCGGGTACAGCTACAAAAGCAAAGGGTGAGCTTGCAGTGCTCGAGAAGGTTCGAGGCAGCGTGTCTCGGTCAGTCCTCTGAGCATCCCCCTGGCCGGAGAGAGCCTCTGGCAGAGCCGTGGCAGGCAGAGCCACGAAGGGACGCCCCTCGCTCCAACTTCCATCTTACTTCCAACACGTGCCTTTATTTTTTCAGAGGAAGACAGGCCCAGAAAGGGCAAGTGAGTTTCTTGAAGTCACAGAGCAAGTCACTGGCTAGGCCTTGGGGCTTGGAGTCTTGCCGTGCACTTTCACTTCAGAACTCTCCTGGCTCCTGAGTGGCTGAGGGCTGGTCACTTTCTGTCTCTGTGCCCCTAGCACCTCAACTGCAAAATGCAAATTTTTCATAATCTGAAGCATCCTAAAACTGGATTTTGCTCCAACTTGGCAAAAGTAAATTTTTTTTACTATAGTTATATTAGGGTGCTTTGAGTTAGAGGTAATGAAAAAAATTTTCAAACTGCCCAAAGCCAAGCTCATTAATAAGTTTTTCAGATTTGTTTGGGCCGCAGGCATGGTTTGATCCAGGGCCTCATGACATCATAGGGCACCGAGTCTGCTTCCTGTCATTCTCCTGTTCTGACCTCCTCGTGTATCAGCGTCAGTCTCCTGGCAGCAGCCTCTGGCCGCAGCCGCGCACCCAGCACCCAGAGGAAGAGAAGCACCGCTGCTCCACAGGCCAGGCAGAGTCTGGGCTGCCCTCTGGCTTTCCTGGCTTGGGTCTCATGCCTGCCACCCTCATCCAGTCACTGTAATCAGGGAGTGTGACGTGCTGGTCGGCCAGCCAGGGGACAGCCATAGTCCCCAGAACTGCTGGCATCTCCAGATAGAAGTGAGGGCATCGGAGTAGGAAGTGGGCTGGGAGTGGAGGCTGGGCCATAACCAGCACCTTCCTCTACCAAGGGTGTCCAACCTGGGGCCCGAGATGGCTGCGAATATGGTACAACACAAAATCGTAAATTTACTTAAAATATTATCAAATTTTTTTGTGATTGTGTTACAGTGTATTTAATGTGTGGCCCAAGATAACTTCTTCCAGTGTGGCCCATAGATGCCAAAAGGTTGAACGTCCCTGTGTCTACACTGACCTTGACCCCTCTGAGGCTGCAGAGATGAATAAGGGCTCCCGAGAGTGTGCCAGTCACCTCCCTCCGTCCATCTGGGGCACGACATCCAGGTCGGGGTGGATGGGATGGCCCTGCCTGGCCCCCGCCTGGGTCTCACCACATTCTTATTTTCTTGTCTCCAGACAGAGATTACTGCAGTTTATGTGACAAGCAGCCGATTGGGAGGTTGCTTTTCCGGCAGTTCTGTGAAACGAGACCTGGGCTGGAGTGTTACATTCAGTTTCTGGACTCAGTGGTAAGTCCCTAGTCTGGGGGGAAGGGAGGGCCCGTGGGCCTCTGTGATCAGCGGTCGTTTTCCTGCAGAGGAGAAGGTGGCCCACTGGTATGAAGAATAAAACTGCGGCTCAAGAAACGTCCAGTGCAGACTCTGAGAACGCAGACTTGTCTCCAGGTGCTGGACGACCGTGGGCGGGCCACCTCCCGCTCTGGCCTCGGTTCCCACTGCTTTAAAGTGAGGCCCTGTCGGCTCTGTGACGCCAGGAGCCCGGGTTACACGAGGCCATGCGTGGGCCAGCTGTGTGGCTTTCCCACCCCCTCAAGGTCGCTCTTGAATTCCACAGCCCCTCCCCCAGCCGAGATTCCACTTTCTAAAACTCCAAAGCTTGTGTTTGTGTACTGGTTTCCTGTCTGCTTACCCGCCAGAAGGCAATCTCCCTGAGGCCAGGCCCCCGGCCTCCAGGGCACCCTGCCCAGCACAGCGCCCGGCACATGCAGGGCTTCAGTACCTGCTGGTGGAATGAACGCAAGTTGGCAGTTTCAGGCCGGTCTGACAGCCTCTGGCACGTGTGGCCGTGAGTCACACCGTGGCGACTTCCCGCAGACATCCTGGTCGCTCGCTCGTTTAACAAATGCGGGTCGAGCCGCGTGGGCTCTGAAGGCCAGACGTGGGGATAGGTGGGGCTCATCAGCGCCTGCTCAGGAAGGCGGGGCTACTCCGCCGGGCCACTGCCTCGTGGGTTTCTGTCCAGGGTGAAGGGTGGAGACCAGTCATGACAGGAAGGGGACTGTCTAGACGCCCGTTTCCAGGGCAGGGGCCCAGGGGCTATCATTTCCTCCCGGCCTTTGTGGCATCATCGGCTGCAGCCCCCCGACCTCTGTCCTGGTTTAGGGGACAGCCCCGTGACACCTAAGTCTCTGGGTCTTCTTTAGGGTCCTAACGTGGATCTTTAGCCCCACAAGCCTAACAGTCCACTGACTGTCTCTTTCAGAAGTCATAGGGGCCCCTCCAACAGTCCACCTGTCCTAAACCATCTCAGAACTTCTCCCCGGGCCCCCAGACTACCAGCCCTGGCACGTTTCCTGTTCCAGAGACCAGCACCCCACAGGCACCCCAGCCTGGTCCTTTGCGTCCTGCCGGCCCCCTCCTTCCTCATCCCTTCCCCCGCTCCATCACGGACTGGGCACGTGGCTCCTTGACCTCTCGGGGACCAGTTCCGTCCCCTGCGTAGCCTTTGTCTCGGTCTTGGTGCAGCTTCTCTACCTGCGCCGTGCGAGCCGTCAGAACATTCTCAGCCTCGGAAAAGCAGCAGGGCTTGGGCCAGAGCCCAGACTCACAAATGTGTGTCTCTGGGAATGGGGCCTAGTGTCTTCGCGACTTTGTATTGTGGGAGACTTCAAACTGTCGAAGTCAAAGTCTGCAGGATAGTATAGTGAACCCCCACGCGTCCCTCACACCACATCAACACTCGGAACTCGAGGCCGGTCTTCTTCCACCCTCCTCCCCTCCTCCGTGGCATTTGCAGCAGGTCTCACGTTCATTGTTTTGTCTCTGAACATTTCACACGTAGCTGCAAACGATAAGGGCTCTTTAACAAACCCCCCCACAAAACCACCACCATAGCTAAAATATTCTTTCCCATCAATGGACACTAGTCCGCGGCTCCATTTCTGAGTTTCTCGTGCTTGTTAAAAATGTGCATCTCAGCAGTGTCTGCCCGCCTCCCCGGTTCATCCAGAGGCGTGGCCCGTGGTCCGGACTCTGCCCTCACCCCCGTGTGCCCTTCAGGGGTCCCCTCTGGATTTCTTGTAAATCGATTTCATTGAACCCGGAAACTGAGGCTCGTTTCGATCTGGGGGTGAGGGCACTGACTTCATAAGTGGTTTCGTGTTCTTCTGTCAGGGGACACACAATGTCTGGTGTCCTTCTCTGAGGTGGCAGCAGCCACTGTACTCAGTACCAACCCTGCTGATTAGTTAGGGGTGCAACAGGATGACATTCTGTGCCTGTCGTTCCTTCTTCATTTGCTAACTCAGAAGCGCTGTCTGTCACTCCTGTCGGGTTACCCAGTGGTACAGCGCATACAAGAAATGCTTAGTTCTTTCTCCACGTGTGTATTTTCAAAGTCCAAGTGGTTCACTAATGGTAACCAGTTAGAGTGTTAAATGTGCGGATTTAAACAAGGTGCGTTTGGATGCGCACTAGTCATCATTTGTGTTGGTGTTCCATCATTGGCCAGCGGGGGCCCTTGAGAGGACCCTGGCGACCTCTGGTGGCCTTCCGGCTGCTCTGGGGTTTCCTGCCCTGCACCTGGAGCTCGTCATTTCTCCGAGGAGTCCCGCTCCCGTGGCTGGGAAGTGGCACCTGCAGACCAGTAGTGTGGCACAGGGGTGCTCATTACCCCTGGGCTGGCCACTCTCTGAAGTAGACAGTGGCATTTTTCAAATTTCCTGCTGTACTGGGTATCCATGGTTGGGAAGCACTCACGTCCAAGGCAGAGTCCAAGTTCTGAGGCTGACTTACCAGCCCTTCTGCCAACAGGCCCCTACGCACCCTTTCATCCTCGAACTTCCCTCAAACTTCCCTCAAACTGGGTCTTTCTTGGGCCCTACGTTCTGGCCCTGGCCCCTGCTGGTGGTGGCTGTGGTTTGCCAGGATGGTTGAAGACTCGGGGGTGGCTGGAGTGGAGGCAGCAGGGCAGAGGGATCTGGCAGAGGGGTCAGTCATGCCAGATCTGTGCCCTTAAAGAACTTTGACTTTGAGTGAAATGGGAGCTCCCGGAGGGCTGTGAACGGGGCAGTGGCACAGTCTCACTCAGGTCTTTAAAGGACCCTCTGACTCCGTGTTGGGAACAGGCTATGGGGGGCAAGGGTGGGAGCGGAGCCTTGATAGGAGGCTCTGTAGCAGTCCAGGTGAGAGCCGACGGCAGCCCAGACCACGCCGGCTTGGTGGCAGAAGTGGCATTGGAGTGCTCTTTGAAAGCAGAGTTAACGGTGTCCCCTGAGGCATCGGGGGTGAGAGAGGAGAGTCACGGGTGACCTCAAAGTGTTGACCAGAGCCAGGGCAAGGGTGGAGTCTGCAGAAGGCTGTGGGAGGCTCGTTTGGGGGGGGAGGGGAGGACAGAAGCTTCATTTTAGGTGCACTCGGCTGGAGGTGACCATCAGACATCCTAGTGGATGTTCCAGGGGAGGAGGGTGTTCAGGTCGGAGCTCTGTGAGAAAGGGCTGGGCTGGAAGTAGAAGATGTTAACATACAACTGCATTTAGAGCCGTGGGTTGGACGAGCTCACCAAGGAGAGGTATGTGGATGGAGAGGAGCTGAAACCCAAGGACAGAGCCCTGGACCAGGGCTGCTCCCCATTCGGAAAAGATGAGGCATCGGCAGCTTTGGGACTTGTCTAGAGTTGATGAGGCAGAGCAGGGCAAGGCTAATCCCAGGAGCCGGTGGAATTTTCCAGCCACGTGTCTTGTTAGACGGTTACGGTCAGTTTGAGAAGAAGAAAAAACCCGGTGGATGCTGTCCTCATTCTGGTCGAGCAGACGTTCTCTGCCGCTGGGCCTGTACCAGGGGCTTTTTTTCTTTTTTTTGGAAAGGAAATGTGGGCGTGGCTCCCTGTGTTGACGTGACGAATGCTCTTTACGTAGGCCTTAATGCAGCCACCACTCAAGAGGCTGGCCCGGTCCCCTGCGTTTTGTCTGCGTCTCTGGGGATTAGCAGGGAATTCTCTTTTCATCACCCATCTTGACGTCAAATGACCGGCCTTTGGAAACACCTCTTTTACGCACGAAGACTTTATTGAGTTTTCCAGAGCTGGCGCAATTCTCGTCTGCAATGCGTTTTTTCCTTCCATCCTGACTGGAACTCAGGGGAGGGAGGAGGCGGTGCTGTCCTAGGCGTCGAGTACCGCCCGATGCTCCTGGCCCGGCCAGCGCCATCCCCACCGTTCCCACCTCTGGGCTGACTTTCTGCCAAGTGCAGCCCGTTGAAAACAACCGTCCCCATTGGGCTCTGACGCAGCCGCAGAAAAGGCTGACCCTCTGCTCAGTCTTCACGTCTGAGCTTCTCCGGTCAGGCGAAGGCTGCGGCCGCTGAACCACGGGGCCTGGTCATTGGGGGTGGGGGGCAGGAGGTGCAGCAGAATGGTCTGTGCAAATGACTCCCACCACAAAAGGGAGTCACTGACCTAAGTCAAGGCGATGACTAGATTTGGCTTGAGGAGGGCAAAGAGGATTTGGCCAGCTGGTCAAGGGTCAGAAGGAGTTCCAGGTCAGCGCAGACCTCCGCGGGCCAATAGGGTCCCGCCAGGGCCTTCTTACAGGCGGATGGACTTCTTCTGTCACCTCTCTCCCGGGAGCCTCGAGGGCATCTCAGCACCTCTGAACCCCTCCCACACTTGGGGGTCTTCTCTTGGGGATGGGGGGGACCTGGCAGACCCTCAGCCAGACTCAGTCCGTGTTTGTCGGCCATCTCCGGTGTGCCACGTGGTGTCCCAGCAGTTAGAGGTGACGCGGTGAGCCGGGGAAGTCCTGCGCTCACGAAGCATGCTTTCGGATTACATGAGACATTAAGAAATGCAGAAACAAAAATCTGACAAAGGCATGAACTCACACTAGCTCTGAGTTCAGATGCCTGTTACTTGTTGCTGCGTAAAAAATTAGCTCAAAACTTAGCAGCTTGAAAACGACCATAAACACTTATTATCGCAGTGTCGTGGGCCAAGATTTGGAAACGGCTCACCGAGGGGAGCTCAGGGACTCTCGGAGGGCATGTCACAGTGCTGGCTGCGGCTGCAGGCAGCTGGAAGCTCGGTCTCTCTCCAAGGTCATGCACGTGGCCAGCGGGTCAGGGCTGGCTGTTGGCAGGAGGCCTCGATTCTTTAAGGGGGGAACCTGTCTGTGGGGCTGCTTGAGTGCACTCCCAGCATGGCTGGCGTTCCCCAGAGTGAGTGGCCCGAGAGCGCACAGTCGAAACTGCAGTGTCTTTCACACGCTGGTCTTGGAGGTTCCTTACTGCCACCC